CTGCAAAACAGGGTAAAAATGAGACCTGAGTAAATATTATAAAACATTGTAATTCAAAGTAAAATTCTGAGTTAACAGCATTAGAAACACGTAACTACTTTCTGGTTTTGTCTGTCTGCAAAATTTGGAGCATATGTGCTGTACCAATATTAGCATGTCTTCACAGTCAACATCTAGAATGAATGCTTAAATATTCATTGACTTCAAATTTCAAATTGAAGTTTGAATTGACATTCATTCTGTAGATGTAACAGCATCAACCATTAATCAGGGAACAGAAATAATACCACTCAATTTATATAATCTACATACTGTGGTCAAAATGTATATTTCTAGATATATAATCTCAAAATTTTAAAGTATTAGCTGCTTAAGTAGATCATGTGGTATRTTCCCTCCCTCTTCTAACTGGCTGATTTATGTAACTGAGCAACCAAACAAAAATTCTGAGATGTATATTCAGCTGTAACGCTCACAATTTACATTGTGTATTGAATCAAGTAAATACGTAACTCATGCAATCAGGGAACAGAAGAAATAACATGATTTAGGTAACCAGCTATGACTATAAATTTATAAATAATCTAAACAAAAAACTCCACAAATAAAGATTTTTAAAATGCATTATTCACTGAAGAGTTCTGTAAGTAACTACTGAATAAATACTTTCCACATTCACAAGAAAAGAAAAAATCAAAAATGTACCTAAGGAGTCACTGTGACTTGTTTGTTCAGATCTACCTACCCAGTTATTCTTCCCTCCCTTCCTCCCCCTTAAACTACACCTATATAAATGGAAATTCAAAGGCTATAGTTTCTAATGCATTGTCTCTGTGGATTAGTTAATTTTTAGGCAAGTTACAGGAGTATCTAATGCAAACATTTACATTTACTAAAAGGGGGGAAAAAGAAATATGGAGTTACCAAAATCATTATAGCCACTATTTGAACAGAACATTTCAGCCCTGCTGAATGCTTGCATTCTCCCAGCTCTGTCCTTTCTGGTATCTTTTCCAGCCCTTTTTTTTCAGCTGCATTCATACAGACACCACTGACCACCACAGCAGTCACTAAGTGCATTTCTTCCCTGTGATTGCTTTGTGTTGTCCCCAAATTTTACACCTGCCAAACAATGTCCTGTTTCTCTTAACTTTTTGGTTACTGTGCACATTTTAGAGAAATCCATTATGGTAAAGAACGAGAAAAGAAGGGAGGAAACACAATTTAAATGAACTTGTATCTTCTGCTGAAGTTTCAAGCAAGAAACTCAGACTCTGGAAATGCAACTCCAGATAAAGATAAAAGCTCCTGTGTGATGTCTCTGTAAACCAGAACACAACTGGCACTTTAGCAAGTTGTCCTGTCCRCTGATGGGAGCAGCATGGATGAATCTGGCCAGTCCACTTGCACTTCTCTTTCTGAAACCAGTAATAAAGTTTGAGMGGGGTTATTTTTAAAGCAGCTCTTAGAGTGTTCCAGCTCACTACTGTCAGCTTCAGATCTCAAATGCAATTTGATTTATAATTACATTTTAAAAACTAGCATTAAAATAACATTAGAGGGGTCATAATCTGAACTTTTTAATAGTTAGGCACRTAGCATACATTTAGAAATGGATCTCCAACAGGATTCATCTGGAACATATTCTGAGTGGAATTCCTTCCTTCAACCATTTCAGTGCTCTGCTGAAGCTGGTGTGCCAAGAGGCCGTGGTGGAGCCCTGTATTTCAGCTTTGTTTCAAATGTAAACGGGCTGAAACACACTGCTGAACATTTGCTAGACAAAGGCTTTTCCTGCATTATAGTCAGGCCCATGTTTGTAAACACCAGCGGGTGAGAAAGTGCTGGAGAATCTGGACTTAGGCCTCTGCAATGAAGAGACAGAGGTTGCATCCCTTGAAAAATCCAGTTGGCTCCATTGTTTCTCAAAAGCATTGTTTCTCCATTGAACCTCAAAGCAATTTTAATTTTCTTGGCCTCTGACACAGGATGATTTGAGGGCAGTGACCACCTTGAGGGGTTTCCAGAGGTCGGGTTCATGCCAGCCAAAGCACATGTGCAGTGGGAAAGCAGCATTTCCAAGCACTGCTCCTACCTGTCCTGCCAGCTGTGCAAACACTCACAGGGGCATTCAGGGAACCCTGAGCTGCACCTCCTGAACACAAGATGGGCTTCAAACAGGGCACAGGATCCTTGCAAATTTTGCCTTCTTCTCCAGGTCCAACCTTCTGATAAAACAAATTTCCCAACCTAATCAGTTCTGCACTGGTACCTAACTACAACTTCAGAGGCAAAAGGCACAAAAGGAATTCAGTTCCTGAACAGTAGTGCTGAAGCAAATGAGCTAGTAAAAAAAAAAAAAAAAAAAAGAAAAGCCTGTGCCTTAAAACCAAGTTTGAAATTTTATAGGCTTTTACTCCATAATTTGTACTTGAGCCTTCTGTTATTTTTAAACAAATCTAATTTCTTACAGCTGTGAAATTTACATTTTAAGAGTGTCTAGTGGCCATGTGCATTAATTACTTTATTGTAATATTTTAATGAGTTTGGGGTTCAACTCTGAAAGAATCCTTCTGAATCCCTGCTTCCCCACAGAGTTACACCAGAACCTGATTCAATCACAACTTCACACACCCCGATCCAAACCCTGATGGACTTGAACAATGTTTTCAGTTGTTTTATGAAGACACTAAACTTTAAAACCAGCTCCAGATTTTAGGAGTCCTCACCAAACTATCCCTTCCCTGATGCAGGAGCAGAGCTAGGCTTTGAGGACGTTTGTGTTTAGAGCTGAACTTGCTGGCTGAGCCTCATCCCAATGAAAAGAGGTAGCAAAATGCAAAATTCAGCTAAAATTTGGGCCAATCTTGTTCAAAATGACACACAATGCAAACGCTTCCATCCCAGCATATAAGACATAAAAACACATAAATTCACCATGGCAGATTGAAATGCACTTCTGGAAGATTTCTACCTTGATAAAAAAACTGAAAAGTGCTACAGTGTCCATTCTTGTGCCATGGTATTCCCTTTATGGGTTTTGGTGGTTTGTGTCATTCTAAATTATTTCTTCTTCATCTGTGAGTGTGCATAAATAGTGTTGGGAGGTAACTAAAATGAACCTGTTTTTTCAGGCAGTTTTCCATGAAGATTTAGTACCTGTCCTTGCACTGCTGCAGGTGCAAGTGCTCATCTTGGGACCGAGGCAGAAACCTCCAGACCATGGAGGATCTTTACAATTTAAACTGAAGAGATAAACATTCTTACAGAATCCAGTGCAYTTTAATTCTCTGTGAATAAGCTAAAGATGCAAATCCATAGCACAGTGAACAATGGGTTCAAGTACAAATACAGATAAATGCAGGGAAAGTGGGGCTGGCTGTGTTTAGCTGACTGTGATAACAGTAAGAGGTTCATCAGCTGTCAAGTGCCACCACACACACGCTGTGCCCACAGTCACACTTGGAAATCTGACCATTTTTGTCCCCAACTCTCACCTCTCTTGGCTAGGGCAAACGCAGAATTGCAACTTCAGTGAACTACCCAGCTTTTAAAAAAGCGTGTTTTTAAACCTCTTACAATAAGAGCAACAGTTATTATTCAGTACATGCTTTTTATCAGATTGAAGATAAACTTTATTATAACTGGTGGAGATGGTAKCAATGATTTGTGGTCTATGTGAATTCTGTAATGAGAAATGGTAATCTGTCTTGGGGCAAACAATATTGTTCTGTTTACTATGCAATTAGCAATATTAAGTCAAGATTCTATAACTGATAGCTGAAAATAGGGGTGGTAGGAAGAAACTGGAAGCACTGGGAGCTGTCACAGGACAATTATCTGAGGACTATAAATTATTTACGGTACTTTAGCCTGACATTCCCTCTCATCCTCCAAAAATYTTCCTCAGTGCTCCAGAGATATTCACTATAAAAGTATCGAGACTGTCAGCAGTTTGGGGCAAAGCCAGACTCTCTCCTTGTTGTGAWTACTGAACACGCAGTATAGAGCAGGAACTTCATTTTCAGAGAAACAGCAATAAAATAACAAAATATCCCTCAAAATAAAGTGACTTACTTTGGAATAATGAACCAACAAGCATGACAAAAAGAGATGAGATCTAACCTCTGATTCCTGGCATATTTGGTGTGAAATACAGAGTATTTCCCCTGCATTTATTCTGTTCTTTAATTTTATAGACAGTCCCACACCTTTGTGTGACCAAAACCCCGCACTTGTTGTTTACTCGTAGATCAGCCTTAAGCTACCACCATATGGAGCTGGGGACACCACAGACAGAGCAGAGCAGTCCTTAACTAATGGTCAGAGTAAATTGTCTTGGGAGTCAAGTGGGGCCACTCTCAAGTGGCKGGTTAAGAAAAGGCCTGACCTGTAATGGAGCTTCTCTGCAAAACAATACATTTTTTTACTTTACATTGTAAAGTACAGGGCCATGAGTGTGATCAGCCACAGAATTCTCACAGCCTTTTTCTGGTCAGTTCCTTAGCTATACACGTGCAGTCCAGCCCTTCTGGCTCTGGTTCTGCAGCAGGAAGAATTCTGAGATTACCTCAACAGGAACTCAGACAGAGCTACAGCACTGAGCTTTCACAGCGAACAAGAAGGACTTATAAAGTGTTAGGGTCTTCCTTGCTAAACTGATCTTCAAAAAAACCAAAAAAAAAAAAAAAAAAAAGTGTTAGGGTCTTCCTTGCTAAACTGATCTTCAAAAAAACCAAAAAAAAAAAAAAAAAAAAAAAAAAAAAAAAAAAAAAAAAAAAAAAAACCAAATTATCACATTTTTTGAAGTAGCCAATTCCATTTGTAGCTCTGTCTGTAAATGTGATGCTCCACAGAGAGCTGCGTTCCCCCAGCAGGCAGAAGCCACATGTAAGGCAGTGACACACAGAGCTCTCAATAGCGGGGTGCCACGAGGAAGTGACTCCTTCTGGCAGCCTCTCAGCCCCTTTCCTGCACCTCTTGCCCTTCAGGATCGGTGC